ATCAATCAATCAGACCAATCAAGATCCTAGGATCTTAATCGGTTTGATTGATTGATTGATTTCATTGATTGATTGATTGATTGATTGATTGTGGGTGTGTGTGCGTCGGGGAGGGGAGGTGCGCCGGGAGGGGGAAGAACGGCGTGGGCGGGGAGGACGGACAGCGGGGGTCGGGATCGCACGGGAAGATAGCGTGGGGGTTAAAGTCGGGATCGCGCGGAGGGGGGAGGACGCATCGCGCGGGGAAGGGGAAACGCGCGGGGGGGGACTAGCAGATAGCGGGGGGGGAAAGGGACGGGGAGATTGGAGTCGGGGTCGGGGAACAGGAACGGGTGGGGAAGTTTGCGGGAGAGGGGGGGGAAGATGGCGCGCGAGGGGAAAAGTCGGAATAGTCGGGATCGCACGGGGGGGGGGAGAAAGGGGAACGTGCGTGGAGGGGGGTGTCGGGATTATAAGCGGAGGTGTGCGCGACAGGGGGGAAAAAATGTCGGGATCGGGGTGCGGGGGAAATCGCGGTGGTGGGGGAAAGGAAGAAGAAGAAGAGAAAGAAGGAGAAGAAGAAGAAGAAAATGAAAAGAAGAAGAAGAAATCGAAGGAGAAAAAGAAAAAGGTGATGAAAAAAAGTAGAAGAAGAAGAATGAAAGTTGAAAAAGAAGAAAAAAAAAAAAAATTAAAATAAAATTGTCGTCGATAACTTATCTGCGCCGGGAAAAACAGCGGCGTCGACGACGAGGGTGGCGCGGTGCAGCGACGAGGACGACGAGCAAGGCGTCGATGATGACGTGGCACGACTGCGTGTGTTTGTGTGTGTGCGTGTGTGCGTGTGTGTGTGGCGGGGGAAGGGTAGGGAGGACCTCCCCCACCAATCAATCAATCAATCAATCAATCAATCAATCAATCAATCAATCAATCAATCAATCAATCAATCTATCGATCAACCAATCAATCAATCAATCAATCAATCAATCAATCAATCAATCAATCAATCAATCAATCAATCAACCAATCAATCAATCAATCAATCAGTCAATCAAAAACCAACCAAGCAATCAATATTTATTTTGTTTCTATTTTTTTTTAATTTCCCCCCCACCCCCAAAAACGACCCCCCCGAAAATCATTTTTTTTTAACTTTTTTTTGTTCGAGAGGGTAGGGTCGGGGTTCCGAACCCCAATCCGAAACCCCCACCACCAACCCCCTCTCCCCTCGGCCGCTGCGGGACGCGGCATTCCGCGGTCGCCGTGGGCATGACCGCGGGCCCGCGGCCTCGACCCCAGGCCGAGGTCGTGCCTGCAGTGACCGCGGCCGCTGGGGATTCATAGGTGGGCAGTGTAGGGTGAGTTGAGACTTGTATGGAGTCGAGGTTTGCTGCTCTGAACGAATCTCACATCGGTTCGCCATAGTGATCTCCTTTCCCTATCACAGACGAGGATGGTCTCTATTGCGATGCGGATGTACGAAGGGTGTTGTTGCGAACCGATCGGGTTCACTTTTATAACCCCTCCAAAGCATGTCATATAGGGGGAACAAGGTTTGTTTTGAATAATCGGTTTTCTTCCCCATCACTGATTTTGCCTTATATGGACTTGACGGTGCTACCCTTGTCGACAGCCCACGCCACGTGGGAGCCTCAATTTAATTGTCGTTGGTGTCGGCTGGGAAATTTGTGTTAGTGGCGGTCTGGTTYCTTTTTTTTTTTTTTTTTTTTTAGAAAGCCCAAGTTGTTGTAGAGGTGGGATCTCTCCCGTAACGCAGGAGCTCTTCCAGCGAACTTTCGGACCTGGGTGCCCCTGCTCCCGCCTCCGTCAGATGATGAGACTTCTAGTTGATCGAACGGACCTCGTAAGCCCGACTCAGACGCTTAGGGCATCCACTGCCTCCTTGGCCCCGTCAAGAAGGATGGACACGAGATAAGCGATAGATTCATTGGCATAGTCTTCCGTGGTTATGTCTAATTCGGCACTTATCTAAATTTTGGAATTTTGCGGTTATCCCAGCCGGCTAGAGTTTTCGAAATCATCCTCAAGACTGAGGCGAGAACCCCAATTTTGCCCTAGCAGTTCAACCGCCAAGCAAAATTTTTGGCCACGCCCTAATTACTCTGCTCGGCGTCCCAAAGGTATGGGACGCTGCACGGGGTGTGAGGTTAGTGCATCACAAGTGCTCTTTCTTAAACCACCAGTACGTTTCCCATATGTCAGTCGTGGGTAGTGTACGAGGCTTGAAACGAAAAGCGGGTCACGGATTCGATTTATCAAGGGCGTCCCTCCCCCACTCGACTACCACGTTACGCGGCGCATCTTAGATTTCAAGCGGGGAAAGGTACTGGTGTTTTAAAGTTTTGTGATATCGATAGTCAAAAAACTACCTAATGCTAAAAAAACAGCACTCTTGTGGCTAAGGGTTCACTTGGCTATACCCACTGCTGAGTGGTTGTCTGCCAAGAGCCAACATACAGATCCCACCTGTTTAGTGTGTGCATAGGTCGAGGAAGACCTGCCTCACCTTTGGATCAATTGCCTCTTGCAGTGGGGCTTTTGGCGGTCTTGGCCAGATGTATGCCAAGGTCCTTCTCCACTGATCATGACCAATGACCTCATGTCAGGTGTGTTATTAGGAGTCAATGTCCAGTCGGGTTCTGGCGTTGATTTGCATATATCTGAGATGGTAAGAACGACTATCTTCTCAGCTTTCTGGGATATTAGGAATCTTTGTGTTAGACAAAGGAGGACCTCAACACTCAACCATTTGCAACGATCCTCAATTCTCAGCATCCGACAGATCCTACAAGCGGATTTTCTTCATCGACATAGAGTAATTTGATCGATTTGTTGGTATCGAGAGACGATTTGATTTGATTCCAGTACATGAAATTCTATTTTTCCTTTTGTTTTTCTATTTCTACTCGCTTATTTGACATATCTTCGGTGGAGTAGTGGAGCATCAAGTGTGAGTTTTTTGTTATTGTCGATTTCTATTGTCTAATACTATTCACTTATTTTGACATATCTACAGCGGCGTGGTGGAGCAGCAAGCGCAAATACTCGTCGACACGAGGTTTAGTCCTACATTCCATATGGGGAGATCACGATCCAGGTCAAGATTTGAATCACCTAACCGAAGGAGGAGGAGAGAAGAATCACGGAGGAGAAGGTCACCAGCCAGAAGAGAACGATCTCGGGAGCGATCTAATAAAGACACGAAGAAACGAGAGCAACACTGGTCCAAATCTGCATCATCAACATCAAGCCGACACAAACGAAGAAACACGTCTCGCGATCGAGAGGAAAGGCGGTATGAATTTTCTTACAATAAACCCGCACTTGACAATAGGGCGTGGTTCACGGTTGAACTTCATGATGAGCTCTACGCACTACGTCGGGAGTTCGACAGGCTGAAGAAGTGGGTTGACAAACTATCATACGAGTTCAATACAGAGAGTGAGCGACGCGCAGATATAGTCACAAACGAGAAACTCAAACAAGCATTGAATGCCACAGTACAGGAGGCGGCTACCACACTAGCTGGTAAGAAGGCGGGAGAAGGGAGTTCTCAACAAGCCAGCGGAGACAAGGTAAAGGTGAGTGACAACACGAAGGTGGCAACGAAGTTACAAACGCTAAAGAAGCAGTTTGAGGACGTGTGGAGTATGAGGTATGATATCGCTTCTCTGAAAGGTTCCCTTTCTAGTTTGAAGGCCCCAGCAAGGAGGGAGTTTGTCGCACCACGCCAAGTGATGGCTAATAGGAAGACGCCCATCAAGAAGATCACACTTAAGCCGAACGAGGCGGGTCCCAGTAAAGCACGAAAGAAGTCTCAACCAGGCAAGGATCCATGGAGAAGCGCAAGACACATGTCTGCTAGACGCAGAATTCTGCAAGGAAAGCAGATCTCGGAAGATATGTTGAGCGCACTCCAGATGGACGATCTCAAACAGCTATGTGCCATGCATAATGTGCGCTACAGAGGTATACAACAAGCGCAAGTTGCATTAAGGAAGATATCTGGGCTTATCGTGTCAGACACAGAGGACCTTCTGGACAAGAATAAGACTGGGAGGAAGCGCAAGGAGGTCAACCAGACGACGAGCAATCGGAGGAATCCAGGACTGAAGAAGACGAAGAAAGCTCATCGGACGAAGTTGAAGTCGAATTCTCCAAAGGACCATTGACATCAAAGGAGGTTCAGCCAAGCACGCACTAGCAACCACGATCTCATTGCGCAAACTTACCATCTACAGTTACATGGAGTTTCACTTCTCAGTGCAGCAAAGTTATCATCAGACTTATCAAGGATCGAAATTGTAAGGACTGTCTCACAGTTAATAGGGCATTCAGACTGATTATTCTTGCACTAATGAGCACTAGAGAGATTAGTTGGACCGACCGAATGTACTCACTAATCTGCACATACAGTGGGAACTGGGAGCATCTCTTAGCTGAACAAGTATGTGTCTACGTCTTGGTGTCACCATGGAGTCGACACTTCTATGTCGGAAAGACAGTCAGGGGTATTAACAAACGATGGACAAAACATGCGAGAGTTGTACTACGATGGGAGCGAAAGCAACACATGAGACTCTACTCTTCGATTTCTAAGTTCGGCCTGCATAAGTACACGTTTGTTCCTGTTTGGGCAGGTGATGTCATGAGTGTTACACATGTGGAAAGGAAACTCATTCAAAAGTGGAACCCTTACCTTAACACACAGCACAAGAAGATTGAATTAAGAGGACGAATAAACAAAAAGAAGAAGAAACGCGGTAATGTCGCAACAAATGAATGTCTGGATGACTGTCGCGATGAACCTATGATGTTTTCCTCGCAGAATACAGTGACCACACAACTCTCCAGCCTTATCAAACCAAAAGTTGTCATTGAATAATTCAAGGGCAACCTTTGGGTTGAAAGCTGGAAAGTGATAAAGAGGAGGTTCAGGGATAATACCATAATAATTAATGATGAAAAGTTGTTGTTAAGAGATAGCAAGTTGAAATTTCAGTGTGGTTTACAGGCAGTCATTTCATGTTGTGTGGAGAATCTGTCCACTGTTGCAAGGGTAAAAAGTAAGCTTATCTCTCTTTTGCGCGCACCTTAGACAAGAGCCAAGCTCTATAAGTATTCCTTGATGAGAATCATCAAGATGTACTCAGCCATGCGTCTTATTACATCTAAGAAGAATCGAGGTATACTATGCGGCTGCTTATCCAGGGTGGCAAACAAAAAAATTCACGTTACTATTCGCAGACAATTGATAGTGAAAATACCTTTCACAACTGATATCAGCTTGCTTAAGGTGAGAATGACCTTCTGTAAGCTGATTCTGGAAAACGTAACGCACTCTGCACTGGCTCTGATGATTGAGAGACGAGCACGTGTCATGTTCAAAAAACATAAGACAATAGGTGAAATCCTGCACAACCACAGAATGGTGATCACATACCGACTCACTTGCCCTTGCTCCCAATTTGGATTTCCTACAGTGGACACGCATGTTTTGTGTCGTCTTTCTAAGATAATTGACAACAGACTACTGTGCAATGCTAAGAATGTGCCTATCTACGAGGGCGAGGATAGCAAGCGGGCAATTTCCACAGCATCGACCGTGGCACTTCGTTCTCTACCTCGGAGATACTGCCCTCAAATCACGGGGCTTGGAGATCTCGACCACTGTCTGAAACAAAGGAGAGAGAGCACTAACGGGTTATCTGTACGGACTGTCTTCGACTGGAAAAGAAGACTGAAGCCCCTGATTTGCGCCCCACTTGACCGGAACCCTGGGGAAACATATGTGGAATGCCCGCAGGTTTTCTGGGATAGAATGAATCTAATGTTCATTGGCGTTCAAAATTACAAAATCATCAACTCTACAATGCAGGATGTGTGCTTGACAGCAACAAAATCGAATATAAAGAACTGGGATTGACTAAGTTTGTGCACTGGAACAATAAAGGAACCTATGGACATGCATATGTTATGCCAAAAGACAAGGACGTCCTGAGAAGAAGACCAATTGTCCGCACTTTTCCGGAGCCTTCTCTCCAAGCTTTTTTTTTTTTTTTAATAATATATATATATATACTTTCAAAATGCAATAATTTCCTGATGAGAGTCTTTCAAAGAGGATTCAGCATGATGGATACTAATAAACTAGTCAGCAGGGTCGACGGGATTTGCAGAAATGCAAGAGTTCACTTCAAATATCAAGTTGATATCATATGTACCACATTTGATGTCAAGGACATGTTTACATGTCTCGATCACAGTCACATCATCAAATCGATTGACTAGCTTGTATGTGCGAATCTAAAAATGAACAACATGCACCTAAGGATCAAGCTACAAAGAAAGAAAATAGACATGGGTAAAGCAAACAGTACTTGGGGATGAAAAACGGTGAAAATTACTGATCTTCCCAAATTACTGCAGTATGAGATCTCGCACTCCTATTTTCTTGTCCAAGGAAAAATGGTTAGACAGACACTCGGCATACCAATGGGAAAGGGATCAAGTCCTCCCATTGCTAACCTGGTCTGTAATTTTGACGAGGTCCACTGGATGAAGTCCTTAGGCAGCGATGAAAAATACATCACCGGTCTACGGTTTGTAGATGATGTCCTCATCACAGCAACCTGCAGTAGGGAGAATAAACAGACTGCCACTGATTACATTCAGCGGTTTAGCAACTGCTACCACAACTCATTAAAATTGGAAGCAACCTCACAGATTGTAGATATAAAGATAAAGTACTGGGAGACTCATATCAACAAACAAGAAAAGGGACCCCTCTTGAAGTGCTTACATCGGTTAAAAAATCAGGAAACACTCCGAGAGGGTTTTTTTGGTCGATTTCACACGATTAAGCATTTCAAGAGTTTTGGTCCTCTGAAAGCAAAAGAAGTCACAATACTCAGGACATTGCACCGCATTCTCACAAACTCCACAAGACAGGCGGACGCAGTTGAAGTGAGAAAATGGTTCTTTATTGAAGCACGACAGTTAAGCTATGCAACTAACATTTCGAGGCAAGTGGTTGTTGTCATTCGAAGAAATAAATTAAACAAAAAAGCAGCTGCAAGAATTCTGCGCTGGCCTCAACAGTGAATAAAATAAATAAATGAATAAATAAATAAGCTTGGCGTGTCCTACAAATGAGCTCAAAATGTCACGGCCCCTGAGAATAAGCCCCAAACGGACAGAAACTATTTTTCGGCAGAGGACAAGTGATCGGGACATGAACTCCCTAAGACTAAATCTCCGACACAGGCGGTAACTGTCAGATGGCTTCGGACGGACACAGAGCACAGGCGGAAACGAAAAAAGGAGCAGGCAGCAAGCCAGCCCAACGGACACTGATGATTGATGCAGCATTGAGGAGACCGACGATCGAGTGTGGTACTGGAAACGTACGGAGAGGACCTACGGCTGAGTGACTGAGGGAAGGAGGACACACGGTAGGGGATAGGGAAGACCAGGAGTATCGGAATGTAGGGCTCAAGCCTGAGGGACAACTATATAAAGGGTAGATGATCTGAGTACGTCGCCTGAATGGACGAGGCAGAAGGACAATGCTGCCATGCAGTTTGCATGACGGTGATCTTTTGTATGCACATTATGTCCTCCCCGAGAGTAAAGCCCCACATTTTGTGCAAATTCTTGAATGATTATGGTCTTTTTTTTTTTTTTTTTTAATAGAAAAATCCACCTGCGTCAACAGACAGGAGTGTTGGTAAGAGCATGCACTCCTAGCTATGGTCTACTTTAGTCCTCTTTGGGGTTTTGATCTCCCTAATCGAGACTGCAGGGTTAGCCATTGGATCATGGTTCATCTGGGTTAACAGGGTAGGACTGGGTACTTCACATAATCTGCCTATTTAGGTACCTTTTCTATCTTTTTCTCTTTCTTTCTTTCTTCTTTCTTTCTTTCTTTCTTTCTTTCTTTCTTTTTTTTTTTTTTTTTTT